AATAAATTTAGGCATTTCTGCTGTAAATTGCGCGACAGAAACCGAGAAAAAAATGTTTCCAAGTTTGCTTGAAAGCCTTTTAAATCATCCTTTTCATAAGGTCTTTTAATTATGTTTCGGTGAAGCCTCTCTCTTTAATTTGTATTACCTCTGTTTTCTCTAATATCTATTGGCTAAAAATATGTTGAAGACGAGATCTAATTGGGACTAAAAGCGGTGAACCATCATCATCCGATGGATATTTAGCGAAAAAAATGTTGAAAGCATGCTTTCATCGTCTTCTGTTGTTTTGTCGCAGATGATGCATCCAGTGTCACCCCACCCCAAAACCCACAAATTATGAGCCACGTTTCAATGACCAGCGTCGTAACTTCTGACATGCACTTTGATAAATTTTCGCCGTTAACGTTCGTAACAACATACAGTACAGAGATTAAAAATGATGCAGTTTGAGAACAGACCCTAACCCTAACCTTAACTCTTAGCTTCATAGTCTAGGATGTGACTCTTGTTGGAACAAAACGTTAAACAGGGAGAATCTTATTTAACGAAAGCCTCATACTATCAACATGGACGAAATTTTAAAACAGATGATAATATTCTTTTCTGTTAAAAACAGGCATCGCAGTTTTTCTTGAGTTAGATTAAGACAACAACGATGCTCTGTTTACATTCGATTACACTGAACTGTACAACCCTTGCCTTAGTCGTTGTATCATTCTGTCCCTTTATAAAAACTATAAACGTAAAAGTGTCTCTCTATATTTAAAACATATGATAACCACATTAGACTTTGAGGGAAATCGTTGATTAGATCTAAAATAGTCAAATAAAGTGTTACAATTTGTCCGTTCCGGTGGGTAACAACTCCAAACACCACAGAAAACCCTATTGTAGCCAAAATTGTCACCTAGACTGCGCCAATGTAATTTCAAATAATACTATTTTCTATTTCAGTTGCAGTTAAAGATCCCTAATTACGATAGGAATATTAAAATAATGAGGCAAAGACAATCACAAGCGGCGAGGCACTTGAACCGGCGATGGGCGTAAATGAGAAATTTATGTTTAATCGATGTTTACTGAGCAAGACTCCCAAACGTTTTACTTTGGTTTCCTTTTTTTATTCTATTCATCGCTATTAGTTTGTTCTTAGATGTTATCGCTATCAGTTATTTGCTATCATTAGAAGTGAGACCAAAGCATGTCTTTATCTCTTTTACATTTGCGATGTTTAACCTTTTTCTGTATTATTGGTGTAGTTCTCGTGCTCAGTTTTTTGTGCAATCCCTTCATTTTTAGTTAGGTTAATGTTACAATTCGCAACGCATTTCTCTTACTTTAGTTTCTGTTGTATTTCCTTTTAGTTCAAACCACACAACCTCAATCGCTTCCTCGATCAAACACAAATACGTCTCAGCGCTATCTTCTACAATTATTAAAGATCACTTCAC